CTTCAATGTTATTATCTACAATATTAGTATTATCTATATATTATAGTAATAGAAAATATTAGTATTTTCCTTATTTTCTGCAGTTTCTGCTTCCATATGTTGCACAATTTCTTTATGCGGCAAACAATGCTTCTCTTGTTCAATACATTTAACAAGTTCGCTGTGTATGTTGGTACTCCAGTTCTTAATCTTAAAGAGAAATACTTACGGTACATTACTTCCTTTATTCCTTTTTATATTTTCTTTATTCTCAAGCATTTTTCTTTTCTTTTCCAATATTAACATCTTGGTTGGAATAGCATCTTTTTTTAAGCGTTGCATTTCTTTGGCTGCTACATTCTTTAATCTTGGTTTTGTCCACTCCGTTATGAAACAATCATTATCGAAATGATTACTACATATCACTGCTACAATTATAATATATATATATTTTATTTTAATATCTTTATACAGTAGTGGTCAAATTGCAAACTAACGAATGTTTAATTAATTATATCAACTTTACCCGCATCAACTTTTATATCTGTTTCTGTCTGTTGACTGGCAATGAGCCATTGCTGACGAATAATTTCGTCCTTAGGAAATCGAAAATATTTTACATTTTTCGATTTGTTGCCAGACGTACGACTAGTACAATATTTTACACAGCACGCTGACATTTCTGCAAACTACTTATAAAATATATTGAACAAAACTAAACTAAATGAATAAACGATATTTAAATTAAAAAACGATATTAAACAAAACTAAACTAAATGAATAAACGATATTCAAACGATATTTTAATTGAAAAACGATATTAAACAAAACTAAACTAAATGAATAAACGATATTCAAACGATATTTAAATTAAAACACAATATTCATTATTACATATATAGTTTGACAGCTAGTCAGCTATGCTGCAATGATACGCGGTCACGTGGAAGAAGCCATGTCACTTCTTAGCATTTGAGGGCGAACTCTGATTGGTTGAAGAGCAGAACTACTGCGCATCCTCGGGAATGGTACACCTTGTTTTCTTACATCATGGGGACAACCATTAGCACATATATGTAATACTACTATATGGCTAGTGCCTATAAGAGGGAGTGAGAGGAAGCGGTCCCAGAACCACGGTGCGGGAATATATATTTCCCTCTCTTTCTAAGATTACTTTGAGTGTTGTGCGCATGCGTTGGATTGATCGCATCCGCCAATAGGAAAATAGAGTGCGATCAGTGAGATGACGCGAACAGGTTATGCTCGTTATGCTTATTAGATGTGTGCTGTACACAGGCAAAATGGTCAAGATATGTTATTTATGTGGCAAAAAGCCTAATGCGACTGAAAACATTAGTTTGCACAGGTATGAAATAGGTATTAGTTTGCACTGATTATCATGAAATTTCTGTAAGGGATTGCACTGTATTCTTATATACATAACGGCAATTTTGAAAAAGTTTATTTCATAAAATTAGGATTAATTTATTTATTCCGACAAAACTGTCTCTGTTAACTGTAACAAGGTTATATCCTGAAGCGGAATCAATCACTTTTTCGTTCTTCCTTACACATATATGTATATTTATCCTTCTATTTATCATTGATGGAGGGGATGAATCCGACGCATGCGCACAACGTTCAAAGTACACTGAGAAAGAGAGAGAAGTATATTCCCGCACCGTGGTTCTGGGACATGGACTTCTCTCTCATCTAGCCATATAGTAGTATTACATATATGCATTAGCATCATTTTTGTCGGAGTGGACCTACTGTACCTACCTATACCACAGTATAGGTAAGTACAGTAGTTTCACTCTCCAAAATTTATGGGTGCGCGAATCGTACCACTTTCATCATGGCATCGATGTCACGTATGGGTACTGTGTCACTGTGTGTCACTGTGGTGTCGATGTGTGCAGTGAAAACAAAGGCCTCGCACAACCAACAACATGGCTGACTGTAGGACACATAGATCAAAGGTACCGACACGGAGTGAAACTACTGTACTTACTTATACTGTGCCTATACTGTGGTATGGACTGCGCGATCCATTCATAAATCCCCTCGAAAAGTGTCCGGTGAATTAGACAAAGAGGAAACGCGGTGTGGGTCAATTGCTCGCTCTTTCTAATATTCCTATTGGCTGCTTTTATTACCGCCTAGAGTCCTAGATATCACAGAAGCGCAATCGATGTTCCGCGTCCTGATTAGCTGACTGTCAGCCAATCATGACATTCATTCAGTGTTATTAAAATGGCTGACTAATAGACGATTGGTGGATTTCATATTTCGTTTGCAAACGACGCAATTTTTAATACTTTTCTTAGTAATTTTGCGATACTAACTTAAGCCGGTTGCGCTTCTCTGATATCTAAGACTCTATTACCGCCCAGTGGATATCGTTAGACGGTAGAAAAAGACAGAGCTATTAGAAAAAGACAGAGCTTGACCCACACCGGTCGCTATCTCTTTCTTTCGGGCCGGTCATATCTTTCAGCCTGTGCGCAGTCCATACTATATGTCGATGGTACATACAAATAACAGCACGGAGAAACCTAACCTGCGTCGTAGACGCAGGTGCCCAATGTTCGTTCGGGTCGCGCCATTTTTCGCGGGCATTGCATCATCATCTTTGTTCTCATAACTCTTTTTGACTCTTGTTACTGCCTGTGGCGGCAGCTTTTCGATACTGGCCATATCGTCCCAGTCAGAAATTTGTGAACGGGGCCATTTTACCAAGATTGTAAGTGTCCTTCAACGTGTAATAACGTTCAGATGAAATCAGTAAAGCTCATGGCACATAGAAAAACGTAAGGTCGTAAATGTAATCAGTAAGCGAATTGACCAATCTCGGTTGAGAACGTCAGCAGTCGCTGCTACGTTCTCAACTGTGATTAGTCAATTCGCTTACTGATTACGTTTACGGCCTTACGTTTTTCTATGTGCCATGGGCTTAAGTATATCAGAAAGCAAAAATAAAGCAAATATGTAACGAAAAATATTTTCTATATATTCAAAAATTAATTTTCAGTGGCTATCTGGTTGTATTGTTAAATATTTATATACGAAATATTTTAATTTCTTAGTCGGGGAGGGGGGCTGCGCCTCCCCCAAACCCCCCCTGCTTCCTGCACCCCACGCACCACCCCATAAGTCACACTCGCTTCGCTCGTGCGAATTTATATAATTGTATAACATATTACTAACCAGTGCACTCGTAAGGAAAAAATTTATGTGCAACTTAGAGTCCTAGTTACTAAGAAAAGTATTAAAAATGGCGTCATTTGCAGACGAAATATGAAATCCACCAATCGTCTATTAGTCAGCCATTTTTAATACCACTGAATGAATGTCATGATTGGCTGACAGTCAGCTAATCAGGACGCGGAACATCGGTTGCGCTTCTCTGATATCTAGGACTCTAGTGCAACTCATGTGCTAGAATTGTCTATAGCGCGGCCCGGCGCGGGGAAGCGCACTCGCTTCGCTCGTGCTCCCGCGCTCGCGTTGCGCAATAGACAACTTACCACACACGTTACACAATGTACTATTTTCCGTTTAATCTGATATAAAATAAATTTAATAAAAATAATTTTTTAAATCAATAAATTTTAACCACTAGAATAAAACTGATATTTTTACGAATTATTATGATAATATATATCAAGAAAAGTTGTTATTTTAAAAATATTAATAATATGTATATGGATTTCGCGTATATCAGTATTGCAGAAGAGAATCGTAAAGAGAGAAAATAAAGTGCAATAAGAAATAAAATGAAAGTACGCGTAGAATGCGCTAATCCCACGTAATAACTTGGATAACCGACGAATGTATAACCACATTTCATTTTCCCGGGAAGAGATCTCATAAATAGAAACTTCTTCAAGTTCTATAAAATCGGCATCGAGTTAAATTAAAAACTATAAATTAAAAAGAATAAATTTCTTTTTCTTATTTAATTTTATACGTAAAAGAAAGAAAATTTCCTAAAAACAAGTATAATAACAAATTTCCTAAAAACAAGTATAATAACAAACGTTATCATCATTCGTTATACATATTTACTAATATATCATTCGTTTATATTTATATCAGACACAATATATATCTATTACCTTTTTTTTATCGAAGTTTCTTACCAACATTGATACCGTAATAACAGTATTCAATATAATATATCATCATGTCTAACGTACGCATTTATTCTTCATTTAGAACGTTATGCCAAATAATGTACACAAATTCTAGGCGTTCATTCTTTGCGATTGAAAGTAAAATAATCGATAATGCAATGTTCTATATTGCGGTAAACAGTACTCGACATGTATTTTACGTGATAATTATTGTTTATCAATCTCGTTATATTGTTTGAAGATTTACAGCCAAAGTACCACGCGTCGTTTGAGAAGCAATTGTGCACGACTCGAGAGCGTCAAGTAATTACAGCAATTAGATACCAGCTAATTCGTCACAAAATTATTAAATGTCGACATATTATCGCGGGCGCTTAAAGTGTCTTGTAACACAAGCGAAAGTTATCTATTGAGAAGAACAGGAGCGTAACAGTAAGCTGGGAGCAGGGCGTAATAAAGAAAGAACATACTTGGTGCGAAGAAAACAAAGAAAGGAAAAAATGCCAGAATAGCGATCGTGTAAAAATTGAATACAATGGAAAAAGGTATCTACGGTGAGAAACAATAAAAATATGATTTCGATGCATTATAGTTGAATGAGTCCATTTGCGTTAACAACCCCTCGCTTACGCCACTGGACGACAAGGGGTTGAAATCGATGCGACTGAACGCAACGGCAAGCGTGGGTGTTCCAGAGTAGACCTGTGATCTTACGTTTTCCGATTGGCCGTATCCAGCGTAACCCAACGGTCGATTGGTCGACCGGTCTCCCACGCGTCCACTTCGTCCTCCCCCTTTCCTTCCCCAACCACCAACACGAGCCGGCCGCAGGTGAGATCGCGTGGCGCAGGTGTGTTCGCAATTCGCAGTGTGGCTGTGCATCGTCACGCGTCCAGCGGGGTTCTTTTTCTTACATAAGTGGAAAAAGGAGGTGGTAAGAGAGCGGTCTGAGGGAGCGAGAGACCAGAAAGATTCCGAGAAAGGGCGAACGTGGTGGGTGGTGAGAGCGACCTCGCCGCGCCGCGCCGTTAATATTCGCACCTACGCATACAGACGCAGCGCAGCCGAAGCGGAGACAGCGGAGTGCTCTCGGGGCGAGGGACCTTGCGCGAGCCACCCCGAGGAGTTACTCGAACACCTTGGTGACGCATCAGATACCAGCGGGCGAGCGAGTTAGGTGATTCTCGCGAGGGCGACGATACCTCACTCGCGAGAAGGAATCGAGGATTCCTCAGGGAGAAAAAAAGTCCTCCCAGCGCAAGAAGTGAAAGAGACGGAGAGAGGAAGAGGGAATTCGAACAGATCACAGTCGTCGTACAGAAACAGAGCAAAAAAGAAGAAGCGCCTGTCTGCAACTAGTAAAGTTACGCATTCGCGAGGCAAGAATGGTACGAAGATTCTGCAACGGTGCGGTTGCACTTGGCATCGCCCTGACGGCCTGCGCCGCCTTTCCGCGCGCTGTCATGGCGATCGACCTCAGCCGCTTCTACGGTCATTTCAACACGAAACGTTCGGGTAAGTCGACAACGGGAGATCTCGACACGATAGAATTACGCGGGATCTATAAGATACAAAAAAAACTCAGCGGTCGTAGGGTTTTAAGTCGTAGAAAATTTACCAATCACAGTATCGAATATGAGAAGAATAATCGACTATGATTGGTCAATTTTCTGCGACTTAAGACCCTATGACCTCTATTGTAGATCCCCTATTAGGAAACGATGAAAATTTAGCAACACACCTTCGAAAAAGCTGAACTGTCAACGAGACCACGAGTCTTTGGCGCGCCATCGTGAGCCGATCGCACGGAAGAAAACGCGTAAAAGTAAAATTATTCTAAAGTTCTTTTGGAGAAAATCTTGAGAATTGCACACATAATGGTGTATTGTAAGAATATTACAAAATATAAAACAAGATAACATATAAATAAGAGTCAATACAATTAAATGTAAGTCTTTAATTATAACGATAAAATTAAATTAATAGAAACATAAATTTATTAATTGTAAGAATATTACACACAATTTTAATGAAACTTTCATCCGGAATGATTTTATAAATTGTTAAATATTATTCAAGTGATAATGAAATGTGTATTTTTTACATACGTAAAAACGTTTTTTATTCCATATTTGTATATAATATTTACAAAATTTGTATCACAATAATAGTTTTTTACATTCTGTATTTTGCATAAATTGTTTCTTCAACATTTATTTAATCGATTTATTCGCAATGGTTTATAGAATTTCATGTTTTGATTACAATACACTTACAACATACTTACGTATAAATTTATTTACGAGCGATAATCAACTATTACTAACATTTATCAAATATTTATAGTTGTTTGTAGTTTTGTTCGTACCAGTTTATTTTTTGCTTGAACATTGTGTAATTTAAAATAAATTATATTACATATGGAACATTTTATCGCAATACATTTCACAATTTACTACACTTTATGTGCTTTCATATTTTTTTCATATACGAATGCAAACAATCTAATGTTTATAAAATTGTAGCAGTTGGATGACAAGTTTAATTGTTTATGATAAACGTGTATTTATATATTTAATGCGATATTAATGTCAGCTGTTCCTAGAGGATGTATTAAATAATATATGTAAACATTTGAAAAGGTTATCCGAGCATATTATACCGTCTGTCCAAACGTAATTTTAACTACTGCAACCGATTGAAACTATAAGAGCTCGAGAAACTAATTTATGTTCACATGATTGCGAAATTTTAATTAGAAAAGCTTACTGCAGACGTATTAATTAAACAAATTAGCTTTACATGGAACTTACGAACGAATTTGCATACATAATCCTTATTTCGCATATAAATACATATAAGCTGTTTCACTTCCACCGTCATCTATGTACGTAATACGTATAATTCCACGACTTATACTTTGATGTTGACTTTATGAGAATGTTTTGAGAAATTATTCATTGCATTTTTATAACATTTCTTACAGCTTCATATATTTATCTATTCCAATTATTATCTATATAATTAAATTATAAGTGACAAATTTATCAATAAAATCTATTTGAAATTAACTAAAGAATATAATCGTTGATTCGAGAGATAAGAATTAAAAACTTTTTCTTTCGCATGTAACGTAATACGAGATAGTTACACGTATAAACTTAAGCTTACAGCAAGTAAACTAAAGTAAACGTGTTATATACGAACTCATGCGGAACATTTATAAGGGTTATACTGCAAATGGACAGGAAGCTTTCAATACCGTCGCCTTTTGCATCATCATGTTCTTTCTGATGAACATTCATTAAAATTAACGAATCCAGAGAATTACGACGGAGATGTTTCGTTGAAACTCGGTCATATGGTGAGTGTGTACTCTGGTTAGTTACGTGTAAGTACGTTCGCTCTCGGTCAATAACGCGCATACTTAACGCGTACCGAGTCGCATATAGCCGATGACATTTAGAAACACGCGTTTTTACTCACCTCGCGGCTATTCAGGGTCAGGCTGTCGCGAAGCGGGTTTCACATGCGGTCGTTGCATCCCCTATCTTATACCCTACGCCTCCGTTTCTTATAATTCATTATTGCGTAAATCTATGTTTTCTAAACAAAAGTAATGCGATACTGCAAAGTTACACTAACTATAATAATCTTTAAACGCATTTTATTTTCTATCTCTCACCTTATATATACATTTTGATATTAAAACTATCGTGTCTAATATTCGCTGTCTCACCGCCCAGTTACCCGGTTCTCGTAATTGTCTACTGCATAAATTTATTTTTCCTAAGAAAAAGTAATGATATTACAAAGTTGCGCAAACTAATAAAATTTAGACCCACTTTATAATTCTTCCATCTTTCACCGTGCTTCGATACTAAAAATATTCTATCCAATATCCCCTGTCTCACTCGAACTCCCCTGTGTCTCATAATCATCTATATATTGCATAAACTTATTTTTTTTTTAACTGAGTAATGATATTGCAAAGTTGCGTCAACTAAAAAAGTTTAGACCCACTTTACAATTCTTCCATTTTTCATTGTGCTCTGATACTAAAAATATCATATCCAATATCCCTTGTTTCAACCAAGAGCTCTCTGTTTTTCATAATTATCTATTGCATAAATCCTATTTGTTCTAAAAGAAAAAAAGATAATGATACCGCAAAGTTACGTCAAATGGAATAAAATTCAGATTCTCTCGAGCACTGTGTAACTTCCGTCTCTTTCTCACGATGCTTTAATATAAAAAAATATTATATCCAATACTCTCCCAGTTTTATCTCCTTATTTCTTTATTTAATTATTTTTCTTTCTAAAATGGCAGAATTTTTGCTATTTTATTTGTTATCTTAATATGCATTTCCAAAGTAACGTCGAGAAATAAGTTATATTTTTTCCGCGGATTCCAACCAAAATAAGAAATGAGTAAGAGGTCAAGTGAGAGATGATACAGTTGAACGATAGACATTTAATGAAGCAGTTGCTTTTAGAAATAAGTCGTTATTTGATAAATTTCTATTTATGAGAGATGATACAGTCGAACGATAGAACATTTAATGAAGCAGTTGCTTTCAGAAATAAGTCGTTAGTCGATAAATTTCTATTTATTTTCCATCTTTCGGTCATCGGCGAAATGCAGTTTGTAGAAACTTTCTCTTCGAGTAGATTTAAGCTCGCTTTTAACTGTTTGTAACTCGTATCCTACACAGACAGAACTCCGTAGCGTGCGGAGAATAGCAGTCCAAAGTGGTAGTTACCGATTGAAATGCTCGTATTTAAAATTCATTACACCTGAGTATCTCCCATCTGCAAATGGGCGCGTAATCTTGTTCTTAATATTCCCTCCACGATGATATTTCATTCGGAATGCATTGAGGTCGCGGTCCCGCGGGGATAGCGGCTAACTCTCCGGGGAATCATCGCTCGCGACGTCGATCGGTAAAATATTTGTAATGTCGCTGATGAGAAACGCCCACGAATGCGTGGGAGTCTTATCTAAACATGTGATGAATAATTGCGACGTTCGCGCTCGTGCAGCAATTTAATAATGTTCCGCGGCCCCGGTTTAAACTTGATGCAATTCTTGATATGACGCGATCCGGATACGATACCCCGGTAGGTTTCTCGTTGGTGAAATGTTTACCTGCGAAACCCACGTAAACGCCCTGTCTAAACACGCGGATGAGAAAGAGAACTGTGACGTATGTGTGTAATAATTTAATAACGCTGATGGCCGGGGTCACCGCCGCGCCGCACCGGTGCGATGCGGTTCGATATAGTTTTCCATATATATACGTATAACGCATCGAACTCTTAATGCGGTCAAAATTGACTGTCATAGGATCATGCTTTGTGGACACGGTGTTCTGTGTTTGCGGTACAAATTACGTTTACGTGCGAAATGAACGTGGGCGATCGTATAACGAATGTGGCACAATATTACACAATCGATCGCCAAGTAGAACCGCCTGCACCATACATTTTCCGTTTTGCGGTGTCATACACGAGGATGGTTTTTTACCGGATAAAATTTTCATGGACATTAAATTGTTGATGTTTTCCTCGTTTTAGAGGAGCGTGTGAATAAAGTGTTACAAAACGTTTCCTCCGAGAGATCGTTAAGGATACAGAAATACAGCTTTTAGCGTGGAACTTCTCTATATAACAAACAGAACGTCGATATCTGATCTCCTGAGAATCGGAAATCCTCAAACAGATGTTATAAGGAAATGAAATTGTATTGAGCCTTTTCCTGATCCAGGAAAATTTCTTCTTTTAAAAGGCTCAATACATAACAATTTCACTCTTTTTTTTTTTTAATAGAGTCTACACATGAAAATTTCAACTGACTTTTATGAAATCTGACACAATATTTACTTAGAATGTCTTGTATAGAAAGACTTTATAGGGTTTGTTTCTGAATTGCGAGGAAAAACTTTGACGAGGAGAAAATTTTACGAGCTTTAAAGTGCAAACAATCAATACGCGTTTACGATTGTTCCTGCAGTTCTATCAGATTAAGCGTTTTGATTAATTGATTTTTCAGAACTATTAACTATGCGCGCCTGCTATTGTATAGCGTGAGCAATACGATCGCGTGTTTGCTCAATTATTCCGAAAGCCTCTCGCACGAAGCGTGCTGTCGCATTACTCGCGTCGTGTTTATTAATTCCGTTTCAGATCTCTCACTTTAATACGTTATCATTGTAATTTAATCATCCGGTGACTCGCGACCGTCCCACCTACGAACGTATAATCGACTTTCCCGAATTTCCATTTCCACAGAATAAGATTGAGTGCATGTATATACACGTTTCTGATTATTTGGAAACAGCAGACACGTTCTTTTTTCACATTACTTTCCTCAAATTACTTTTCTCAGATTACTTTCCTCTGATTAATTATTATTCTTCTCAATATTAAATGAAAATCGAGAAACGATACTTTAATACAAATAATAAGCGAAGAAAACTATATTCAGATCTCAGTGCTTAATAATACTTTTGTGAGAATTTTACGATTCTCTAATTTACTTTATTTTCTCCAATTACTTTTCTCGCTCGTTCAAAATTTATTACGTGCGTTTCAGAGGCTTGCCATCCATATGAACCGTTTAAGTGTCCGGGCGACGGTATTTGCATCTCGATACAGTATCTCTGCGACGGAGCACCGGACTGTCAGGACGGATACGACGAGGACTCAAGATTGTGTACCGCAGGTGAGCTTAATTCTGAATTCATTAATTAATATCTAATCAGCAGTGCGACTCACTTGGCATTATTAATTACGTTCTAACTGTGGTAAACAAACTGATTCACTGAGTGCGTGAAACGTATGTTCTCATTTTTAATATATTTTACTTTTAACATATGATTTATATATATATATATATATATATATATATATACATACAGTGTTGTGCAGTACCTAGGTACAAGTACCTATAGGTACTGTAACTAGGTACAAGTACCTAGGTACTGTAACTAGGTACAAATTTGCGTACCTAGGAACTGTACCGAGTACTTTTTTTTTCTGGTACCTATACCTATACCTAGGTATCATTTCTTGTGTACCGGTACCTATATATTTAGGTACACTTCAGTTATTTTTCAAATTCACAATTGCTTAACTGAAAACTTCATCATACAAGATTTGAGTGTGTAAATTTATTAGAATGATCTAAATTAGAATGAAAGTCTAAATGTTTATGATTTTTTAAATGTTATCATTCTAATAAATTTATTTACACATTCAGATACTGTGTTAATAAGTAACATTTTAATAATAGCGGGGTACTAAAATGTCACATTTTTATAATAAGTAAATGTGTATCTTGTTACATTCATGTATCATATGTCAATATGTACATGTCAATTCTGATAAAATTAAAATGGTTTTATAAATTAAACTTGCATAGAATATTTATGTATGTATAGATAAGATATATGTATAATAACTTAATAATTAAATATTACGTGCAGATACATGAAATATATAGATCATATTTAACAAATAAGCTGTCGAAATTGCATTTTGTCGTCAAAATGCAATTTATCCTGAGCTTTCATGTTAAAAATAAAAGTACCTATAAGATACTTTTAAGGTACATTTAAAATACCTGTACCTGTACCTAGGTATATTATTTTTTTAGTACCTGTACCTGTACCTCGGTACATTTTTTCTAGAGTACCTGTACCTGTACCTAGGTATTGAAAATAGAGTACCTTGCACAACACTGTATATATATATCATATATACGTATAAATTATAATAAATCGATAGAATTTCCAATTTATTTAAGTATTTTAAGTGATATTTAGCACGGTGCTATTGATTTCTAGCGTAGTGGGTCATTATGCATTTTGCATTTATGTCGTTTTATTTTACAGTGATGTCGCTATAAATTAAAATTAAAAATAATTTTTATGGAATTTTTTGTTGTTACAGCCAAACGACCGCCCGTAGAGGAAACTGCGAGTTTTCTGCAGTCTCTGCTAGCCAGCCACGGTCCCAATTACTTGGAGAAGTTGTTCGGAACCAAAGCACGCGATACGTTGAAACCTCTCGGTGGTGTGGAAAAAGTGGCCATCGCGCTGTCCGGTAAGTTCCTCGAAATTATATATACGACACTTTGCGCTACTGAAGGCGACGCCAAATAAAACCTGATCGGACTGTTCGACTTCTCCGATATCACTGTGAAATCTTTTCCACGTATATCGGAAATTTATTAAAAGCAGCAATATATTACCGCGTTATACAGAACGAAATCGCAAGTATTTTAATCTAACTTTATTTAAAAAATATCGATTCAACAAGCATTTATCTTGTTCATCATCACTCTATATCCTCGAAAGATTTGATCTCACGACTTAGTCCCTGACTATCTATTTCGGCCGTCAGAATCGCAGACGATCGAGGACTTCGGCGCAGCGCTGCACCTGATGCGCTCGGATCTCGAGCACCTGCGCTCAGTTTTCATGGCGGTGGAGAACGGCGATCTGGGGATGCTGAAGTCTATCGGTATCAAGGACTCCGAGCTGGGCGACGTCAAGTTCTTCCTCGAGAAACTCGTTAAGACGGGCTTCCTCGATTGAACGATCACACTCGTCGCCGAACCGTCACCGTCGTCGCCGTCGTCGTCGTCGTCGACGAGGAACTGTCGTCGTCGTCATCGTCGTCGTCGTCGTCGCCGTCGTCGTCGTCGCATCACCGCCGGTGTCGCGTCACCGTCGTTGCACCAGCAGACCCTTCGTTTGATAAAGCCTAAATTATCCTTTCCGCGAATACTTCTATCTTTCCTTCGTCGCGAGTTCTTACGCGCAGGATGTAGCCTGTCACTTTTCTTTCCTTTCTTATCCTTTTCGAATCTCTTGCTCTCGCTTCAACGTGCCGAGCGCGATCACGAGCACCGAGATGATCATCGAGACTCGAATAGGGTGCGAATTTCGAATCTTCTGTACGACGAACAATCAGACGGATTTTCATTTTGTGTATCTCGTAACTCTATCATTGGATAATTTCATTACGCGTGTCAAGCATATCGTTGATTCGCTCGGAGAAGAGTGCAATAATCAGTACGTGATTGATATAATTTATGTACTCGGAAAATTTAATTATGCCTCGATTTAAATTTAAAATCCTCGTTAAAAAAAACAATCAAATGACTGACGATCTAATATTATATTTTAATTTTTTAAATATCTTATAATATGTTACTATTTTACTTTCGATAAGCTTCACAATTATTGATCCTAAATAACGTAATCGGATTTTCATGATTATAAAGGAAATATTTTTAAGAATTTATCATATTTTAAATTTATGAAGATTTCTGAGAAAATACTTTAAACTTTTTCATATTTTATAAGTTTTCTTAAGAAACTATAAAATGATGAACTTTTTAGAATATTTAAGTAACTTCATATGCATGAAGAATTCTAGAAAAAATTGTCTTGTCAGTATAACTTCTGATAAAGTGTTTCAATCGTATTACTTTAACAAATTTTCTAAAAAGTTACTAAAATACATATGAAATTCTGAAAAATTCTGAAAAATTACATGAAGGACTCTAAGAAGAGATTTCATCAGGCTACGATTTAATCGAATCTTTTACGTTTTCTCTCATTCTCCTAGTTACGCGTCGAAGCGCATCCTCTTCTCGAACAAGTAATGAGCTTTTGTCCGACCTATTTCTAAAATTGAGCTTCCTCATGTATATTATAGCTACTTTGCTGAACCTTTTGTTAGGGTTCTCTCATTCTAAGTACACTGTTGTGCGTGTCTTGGCTTTCTTCGATGTAACGTATCTTTAAATATGCGAGCACGTACACGGTACTGCATAAGTGATGAAACATTGATGACAATCGTTCGCGATCGGCAGTGATATAATGGTCCAACAGTTGTGCATCAAAAACTTACTTAAACCACGCGAGTTACTTTCGTGAGAAATTTATTATGATTAAATCTCTACTCGAAGAATTGAAATATTTGAGATCGTGATTGAAGTGTTATGAGATTGTAATTGAGATAAAATATCTACTTAACAAATTAAAATTCTTAAACTTAGTAAGAGTCTCAATGAGATTTATTATAGGATCTCAGAAAGTTCGAACTTCACACTTCGTGGGAGGAAACTCTCAGAAAGTAATTACGCTCAAGCACGTGGCAAGGGATGGTTTTTAATCAAAATCACGTTACTTCGTGGAAAGGTCGTGCGGAAGAAGCCGATAATGTAATTCTTATTAAACGCAATGCCGTAAAATTTACTCTCTTCAAGAAGCAACTTATCTCTCGCGGATGCACAACTATTGGACCTGTGCTTTAATAGTTAAAGTCGAAGGCGGGGATCTACATTACTCTTTATTATTTCTGCGTAAAAGAACCATGTATGTAACGTTTGTTCTCAATTACTTCCGCAGGATATCCTTTTAAGCTTAATATTCGATGCTGCGTAGTTTTTATTGCAATTACGTAGTAATCTTATACATATACTGATGATAGGGAGAGACGATAAAACTTTTATTCGGATGAGCGATTTTACTGCTGGAACAGTATAAAACATTTTACATCAATTCTCACGTATGGTTTTTTTTATAATTTTAGCTTCGTCACCGTGGTTGCTCCTTTTTGCATAAAAAAATGTTTCGCGATGCGACACCGCGACGAGCGAAAAACAAAAAGGAAAGGAAAAATAAAAATAGCAAATTCCGTGCCGAGAAAGTCTTCGGTATTTTCACCGCACCCATGCATCAAGTTGTAATTCTATTTTGATCAAGATGTCATTGATGGATGTGGACGTAAGATGAAGCAGTCTTGTTTAACGTTACAATATGCGGTGGAGATACCGTCGTCTTTCATGTTAAAAAGATCAGGTAATTTCTGTCGGTGCGCTCGTGAACGTCATGCAGTCGTAATATACAATGCGATGATGTTGCACGCGTTTTTAAAAGAAATGGGTACAAAAAAAATGATGAGGAAACGGAGCATCGCGTCGCGTTTTTTCAGGGTATGACGCGCGTTTTACTTATTAAGAAAAGAAAGCAAAATATAAGATATATATAATGCTAGCGTATGATATTTTCATTACGGCAACACGATACATATCAGTACACATACATATCAGTAAGTTATATTTAAAAAAATTATATATATATATATATATAATAATAAGTATGATATTCTCTCGAGGTATATAATGTTTCCCGTCGCGTTTTCCTTTTACTTTGAAGAGAGAAAATTAACACATTAAAAATTTCTATATATATATACACATTTATATACACATGCATAAAATACATTATATATGTGTGTGTATAAATTGTGCTATTTGCGACAATCTAGAAATCGTGGACGGGCGCGAGTTTGGCGAGATCTCTTTTTTTTTTTACCTCGAGAGAATAATGCATCCCTTTCGGGATAAATAACGACGTATCTATTTACTAAGCGTATCTTTTAATCGAAAATTAAACGATGCATTGAGACATATCTTCTAATTAATTTAACGTAAGCGAATCTAGAGATATATAAATATTATACATATATACATAGCGAATACATATCAACAGAGAAATCACTCTTTTATCAGATGGTAGATAATATTTTGGTATATAAAGAAGAAAAAAAGTTTAATATTCCCTCCAGATGTCAATTACGGTCCAAAGTAGGGCCTGGACCGAGGGCAAAATCCGAGGGAACTTGTGTGTTTTAGTGAACAACGGGGCATCAGACCGAGGGGTCATGGCGCGCCGCGACATCTCTCTCTATCTATCTCCGCCTCTCCGTCGCGTGCCTTGACTCTTTGGCCCCAATTTCGAGTCGTAAGTCATAAGGTCAAATCTATTTCCCCCGAAAGCGGCAGACCGGAGTTCCACCGGTATCCGATATATATACATATGTATGCCACGAAGACGCGTTACCCATTATCTTGGAATGATAAGAGATTATATTTTCCTCCTCTCTATCTCCCGCCCTCCCTTCTTTTCCCTTTGTATGTTTCCTTATTATAATTTACACTTGTTGCAGATATTATTTAGCCACGAAGTATGGGCGAAGTTGGTTTGTGTATCAATTTGATATTCTCTCACTGTTTTATTATATTCGATCGATGTTCAAATAAATAATATCAATACTTCTTGATTGAATTAGATTAGCGATATTTTTATTAAAAATATATAAAAATAAATTATATATTTTATGATTTATTACATCTCATGACACATTAAAGTTTATAACTATTTTAAAATGCATTTACTCTTATTCCTACTAGACTTTTACAAATTTGCGATCTTGATTAATCCTGATTTAAAATTTAGACAGCGACGCAGCCTGGGGGGTTTCGGAAAAATTGTCGATCCGTCCACAGTTTCGATAACGAATGGTCGCTCAGTGTCTTATCAATGCCCTTTGACATTATTATGACAAAGGGTAACAAAAGGACTCGGCGCTGAATGTAAATGATCAGATTGAAAACGACGTGTCGCAAGATCGAGGGAAATTACACCACGTCATCATTTTTGCATATGGAAATTAATCGGTTTTAAAATTGCGTAGCGTAGCAAAACAGAATTATAATAACAATACCTTATATTAAACAATAACTTTTAATTAAACAATGAAATGTTTTCACACGCGTCTTTTAATAGCACCAAATTCAGCAGCAATCTGAATATTTCGCGTTATATTCAAATTCAATTTCTAGTCCAACAAACCCTTTATACCTTGTGAGATTTATCGAAAGAGAAAAAATATGCAATAATTGAGTTATAACAGAATCTACGTATTTAATGGAGACGTTTTCTCTGTTTCAAATTTCATAAATATTTAAATCTACGCAAATGGATACTGTGCCAGAGCTCTTATAAAAATATTTCATCTATATTATGCGCGCGATAGCATGATCAATTAATTGATTAACGAAGGTGCTTTTTGCTTTTCTTCTATATACACGTTTATGTATACGCGTTGTTTTGTTGCTCTCGTTGCCCATTTACATGGTGTTATATTGTTGTTGTAATATGCGTATGTATACATCGCTAAGTAGACGTTAAGTAAATCAATAAATCGAAGTGATTATATAGGAGAGACGCATGTAATCTTCAACCTTGTCATTTCAAACTGATGGTACGCACGCATATATATGCATATACACGACCTACATGTAGAAAAAGAAAAAAAGAAGATATTGACCACTTTAATTATCAGAGATTTCAACGATGTGATAATGTATTAAAATATCACGCACCGTCGTATTATCTGTATATGTTACCTTTCGACTTCTGATTGTTGTACTGCCAAAGTCTCTTATTATACGTCAAGTTACACGGCAACTTGCGACATACTGCTGTAAGTAACCATCTGCTTTTTCAGATTTTTTGTATTCCTCTATTCGATTGAACGCCAGGCGCTTTTGAGAATGATTTTGTCGCAACAATTATAATCGTTAAGTGAGAACGCTTCTTTTTAGTTTTAATTACTAATGCCTCGAATTATGTATAATGTAGCACGATTTCACCCGTTAATCGTGTATGCGAGCGTGAGCATTGCAATTGCTCGATGAACAACGCAATTAATTACGAATCTATAGATCCTGCCTGCATAATCACGATTTCAGAAAATTGCTTTTTACTGTCTCACCCCTTGCATTTGTTTGCGCTGTTTTACTGGCGACGTGATGCGATATTTTGATCTACAACATATGGCTTTTCATTCGGTAAAAATACAACGTCCGTTAGGAACAAGGATTGAACGAATCTCGCTATTTCGGATTGCGTGCTAGAAAAATATTGAGCGTCGTGATATTACTTCAAACAGCTTGTTTTTTGGATCGTTTAAACAATAAAATATTACGGAAAGACTTCTGAAAAAAGTTATTTATTTATTTTCATATAATCCTTTTTATGCTACTACATCAATGTCACAGATGATATCGTTTAAATACTTTAAATATACATATATAATATCTTCATTTTTTATATACAAGTAGAAGTTGGTAATGAAATGAATTCTTTATCAGTCGGTTTCACCAATTCGTACTTTTCGGTAACTCCACCAAGATTGTTTAATTCTCTGACCAAACTCCATATATTGACTTTACTTGAGACTATCAGTTTTCGTGAATCCTTACCTTGACTACGTGATTTAAGACCCATTGTTCGTGCAATTCTAAAAGAAGCATTATTACCTTCAGAGCAGTATTTCTTACAAATGTCATGTAACTTATCAGCGACACATACTGATGAATCACGACTCTATCTTCTTTAGGAAAATCCAAAAACACAATGTCGTTTCCCGAATAAGTATCCATTTGTAAGAGCTCTTTAAATAATTTTCGACATTTGATTTTTATTTCATTCTCCGTATAAGAATTTTTTTTCAAGCCAAGACCTTCTCGATTTATTTGCGTTTTAACCCTAAAAATAAAAAGATTTATAAGCAGAAGAAAGAGAGGGAATAAGATTATTTTGAAAAAGGGACATATCGTTTCTTACTATATTACTTACATGACACACATGGGGTCCACAATACCCTGTTCGGATTTTCCAAGACCACCGCCAGTCCAGCCCATCATTTTCATCATATTTTTCCCAATGCAATTAGATACTTTCAAATCATCATTGGAGAGAGATTCCTGAGACATTAGTTCTTCTGTCGTTACGGTTACTTTTGCACATATGTCTTTTTTAACCTGAAAAAATTTTACAGAATATATAAAAATAATTTTAAAAAAAAAGATACAAAAACTATATTTTTCTCTCTTTTTTTCTCTTTCTTTCATGCAAAGATTCATGAAAAACATTTCCTTTACCTTAACTGTATAGCAGTGTTTTTGTAATTTTTCTAATGCAACAGCGGCTGCTTTTTGTCTGGCTACTTTCTTATTGGTATCAGTGCTACAACTTAATTTCTGTAAGTCAAAATTAAGAGAGCATTCCCTGAAAAGTTATAATGAAAAATATCTCATTTTTGCAACTGTTGTATCTATGAATAAAACTGTATTTATGAATATTAGATTTATATAACATACATGCATATACATATACCATACATACGCGACATGC